ATTAAAAAGACTCCTACAGAATAAACTGCAGGTTACCAATGGCATTTTCAATTTCCATTGTGCTGTGCTCAAAAGCAATTTTCTAAATTGAGAAGAGCTCAAAGTTACTGCCCCACACTTCACTTTATAAGGTGTGGCTGGGAATGCACCCCAAGAACTAAACCCATTTGCTCTTCATTCTGGGCACACAGCTACAGTACATGTCTCAGCCTACCCTGCAGTTAGATCTGGCCAATGGAATATGAGCAGAAGTAATGCAGACAACATCCAGGACAATCCCAAATCTTCCATTCAATATCTTCCATGGCCTTTTTCCCTCCACTGGCTTCTTAGAGATGAGCATACATTCAATCATGTATTGAAAATGGCAGAACCATAATATGGAAGGAGTCTGGGTCCCTGAGTCACCAGTTAGAGGAGAAAAACTCATTGATCATTAATACCAATTATGTATGTAATGAAAACAAGAAATAAACTGGGTTAAGCCATTGAGATTATCTGTTTCTACAGCTAGTGTGATCTTAATAAAGAAAGCAAGTGAACTTGAGGCACATGCAAATATATTAAACCTAACTGGAAATAGCCTCTTGCAAATTTTGATCAAGTCCACTTAGATACATATTTTAAAACCTAAGCAAACTTATTACCTCTTTGTTCTCATAAAATTACATAGACCACAGCAAGAAAAATTCTACACTTCTTGCCTTCTTTGTCCCAAAGCTCCTCCTTCCAGTCCACATCCCGAAGATCACTCATAAACACTCATTTATATGCATCTTTCCTTGTGCCACTACCCTATACACAAAAATTCTCATTTCATGGATCATCTTGGAAAGTAGAATAAACTCTCTAAGAGGGGCACAAACAGGCCATAATCAGCTACTGATTACCCACAACCTCTGTGTCATCTGATGTCCGTTTCCTGTACATGATGATACGATCTACTACACAGATGGACTGACCTAGGATACTACAAACTAGTACTTTTCCAGATCTTTGAATATATCAGTGCCAGAAAGGTGTTTAAAATAATCAACAGGGGACTCAATCTGCACTCTCAGCATAACACTAAAAGACACCACAGAGAAATCAGTATAAATTCTGTTATATGCCTCTGGATTTGTCTGAACTCAAGGAGGTAGTTGGGCTTGCAGAGTCCCATACCACTCATTGTCTAAGGGTCACCAGGCATTTCCAGTTCTCTGAAAGTGCACTGGGTAAAGAGGCTCCAGTAGCATGAGGGCAGCCATCCTAGAGAGCACAGTCAATTAGAAACAAAAGCAGACTGAAGATGAGGTAAGGGCACCCAGTAAAAGGAATTTGCTGGGATCTCCACAGAGGAAACACCAATAGTATCCACAAGATGAAAGTTGAATAATTCTTTCTGTGTTTCAAATCACAACATGAAGTATTTATATATCATTATCACTCAGTAGGGTAATTGAAACAGTTTATATAAACCCATCTCCCATGTTAGACTAGACTGTTCACTGAGGCCCAGATACTGTATATTATCCACCTAAATATAGCTAGTTTGATGATTTAAATATAATGGGTGCTCAGTTACTGTGTGCTGAATGAATGACTAGAAATTAACTGGATTGTTAAAGAATGATAACACAGATTCTTTGATTTGATAGTAACAGTGATGTTCACTGTCATTTTTGTGAGATCAGCCCTGTCCCCTATCAGCGTTGACAATTTCTTCAGAGGTATCTCTTTTTCTCTATAGAAATATTATTACAAAGGCAGTAAACCACATCTGCTGACTTACATTCTGGAAGAAAATATAATGACAACCTCGTAAATACCTTCTTGTCTATGGAGAAAATTACTGCATTCAAATCCCACTTTTCTAAGCCAAGAAAGCTAGTATAGTACAGTTATTGTACACCGTTTTTGGCAAATGTTGTCTAAAACAGGACGAAATATGTTAATAGATCTAACACATTTTAATATTTTTTAAAAAAGAAACAGAACGCCTTCAACCAACTTTTTATTGTACTTAGAATGAGTGTTCCATTGTTTCATAAGTAGGAGAAGAAAATACAACCAGTCTCACAATAACCATTTAGATATAAAATCCAAGAATACCCTTCTTCAAATCAGAGGGACACCGTCACTGGTGAAGAGAATATTGTATGAAGCAATCGTATATTCTTCCGTAATTTAATATGCAACTGAGGCCTTATGTTAAATGTATCCAGGAAGAAGCCTATCAAATGTTAAGTGATTACAGAAATACTGATTGAAGAAATGTATTTAGAAATGGGATAATCTAAGGGATGGAGGTTAATCCACAGGTCAGTAGACCAAAGGCCAAAGACTGCTTTTCCTTCCTGTGGGATACTTAACAAGAGATTTCAGGCTTCTCCACTTCTCTGGCACAAGCATAATCTGTCTGGCAAGTCATAGCTCCTAGCTGCTTCTTAGTGATGCTCCAGGGCTAAATAAGATAAAATTTATGTGCTATGCTTTAAGCTTCATTGAGGCAAGGCACTAAATAAACTTCAGGATAATTTATGAATCCTGTTTGCATTAGTTATGTCCAAGTCCATCTCATAAAATGAATAAATGAGAACAGGAGGCCAATGCTGACTTGGTGAAAGGTTCAGTACACTTTGGGCAATGGTGATGAGCCCAAATAAAACCACTTTATATCTAGAAAATTTTTTACTAATCTAGGAGATTTTCACACACAAAAAAAACTAACTAACTCCTTCCAATGCCCAGACAATAGTTCACTGGCAGAACATCTGGTATGTGAATAAGAGAACTGCAGCCCTAGTCTGAGATCCAACATCTAATTTCCTTTTAATTTACCATAATTATTTTTGTAAAACTTTATGGCTCTACTCCAATGAATGTGCTTAGCAAGGATTGCCAAAATCCTCTCTTCTTTTCAGAGCCACATCCATAGGCCAGCTTCTTCCTACTTTTTTCTTTCCCTTCCAGTTGCATTTTACCTTTCTCTTTCTGACAGTTAATCAGTGTCTGTTTATCTTAGCAATCTGTATCCAAGAGAAAGGACAATGAGAATGTGATTGGAAGAGTTAAACATAAGCATATATTTGGAAATTCAATCCTTCTAATTGTTCTAGCTAGTAGTGATGATTTGGTATTGCTGCTTTTCGTTTGTTGTTTTATTTAGTTTGATTTAGTAGTGGACAGCCTATCTGCAATTATCAGTATAACTGAGTTACAGCAATTAAAGTTAATCAGGATAAGAAAACTTTCTCATCTAGAAACTGTGAGGGCCCCAACTAATCACCAACCAGTTTTGCTAAACCAACAAATGACTTAATTTCTATTTCCAAAGCCATAATTCTATGCTTTTATCAAACACTTTCTCTGACCTGCAGGAATGTGTTTTTTTGGAGTTTCTAAAGGAAATCTAGAAGAGAAACACTATTCATATTGGCATAATAAACCTCAGCTGATTTTAAACACCCAAGTGCAGGAATAAAACAAAGATAATCTCATATGTCTAAACCAAGTCAGAATCCTTCCTCCAGAGAAAAGGCACATACATTTCCAGCACCCCTAACCTAATACTGCTTGTTTTTAGAAATACAAACTAAGGTCACATGAAGCCAGGTTAAGAGGAGGAAAAGGTAGCTGCCCTTCACAAGTTTATCCATTCAGAGAGGAAGAAGTCAAGGTGAAAATTGCTCTCCTCTGACTAATGCAGTATAATTGTTTCCTCATGATGGTGCCCCTCCATTTTTCTCCCTTCAGATGTTCCCATGGCTACAAAAGGCCATGGCACACACTTATATATTTTTAAAAAATCACAAATCACAGGGATACACAATGGCTTCCTGTGGTTAATCTGAACTTGTCGTTTTGCTTTTGAGATTTTCCAGTTGGCCCACTTAACCCAGCAGCCTATGTATAACGAATAATGTAAAGGGAGTGTGGGGATGCCTATTTTAAGAAACCAGAAATGCCAAGTAACAACTTTAAGGCCATTACAATTTTATCCTACACACACACACACACACACACTTTCTCTCTCACTAATAAGAAACAAAGTGGTTCACTTGTCAGGATAATGCTCTAAGGATAAAACACATAGTACTGCTCTTTCTCACAACTCTTCATATGACTTGAAGAGTAACAATTTTGTTTATTTGGACTATGCAGGTAATTTTAAGTTGAATCAATAAATTCTAAAATGTCATCTAGAAACTTTTCAAAATTCTAAAATGTCATCTAGAAACTTTTCAAAAAGGTTTTTTTAAAAGAGAGGTAACATTAAGCTGAAACAGAAGGGCTCTTTTCTCCCTCCTCAATGCGATGTTTGTTCCTTTGCACTAAAGGGAAATGAAAGTCATATGTTCCTAATGGGGAATCAGAAAATTCTTTTCTCAAATCTGTTCATTTCAGAACCAGGACAATGCACACATAGGAAGGTTATGAAACAAACAAGAATTAGGCTTTTAAAAAAGTATCTAGCACATAGACAATCATTGCACAGTTCATACAGATGAGACAAAATTTTATCTCCTAGTTTCCCTGCTGTTATGTAACTAGGAGGCTTTACTTACTCTGGGACCTAAAGATACATCCTCATTCCCTTTTTTCTATTTAATAAACTCAAATCCTTTACCTAGTAGCCTTTCTGCCAGCTTTGTTCATGCTAACTTGAATGGGGCAATCTGCTACATCAGATGCAAGCTGTGAGACACGTTTTCATTCCAATAGACTCCAAAGCTGAGGCAAGAACTTCATCAAAAATTGTAAAATGGAGATCAAACATATTTCTCATTTAACTACGTTAGAGTTGAGAAATGCTTTGTAATTACTGTCCATAAAATCTTGCACTGCATGCCACAGAGCAGCAAGACCTCCCAGGTATTCATGCACATGTCTTCATCACTGAGCAGTTACAAGTTTAATAGACTGAACTTTACAAAGCTACAGATTGAAATGGTATGTACCACATAACTGTGGCTAACACACTAAACTGGACAATAGCAACAATTTAACAGACAGAATTTTAACAAAAGTAGCCTAGAGATTTTTGTTGGTTTGGTTTTCTAAAGAAACATACTTGGTTCATTCTTGTATTCCATTTTATAAGCCCTACAGCTTTAAATAGATACTGTCTAGATCCAAGCAGGTCATCTACCCAAATAATGAAAATGCACTACAAATGAAAGTCTTCAGGCCTAAAGCAATGGGTGATGACGGCTCAGTGCAGCCTCCGCTGGCACTGTGCAACTGTCTCAGGATGCCATAAACCAGTGTCCCAGCTACCAGAGTCGGCAGGAGTCGATGTCTCTGTTCATTGTGGAATTGGGTGGACAGTTAAAAGCTTTCTGGAATTCTTCAAAGTTACTAATTGCACCATTGACCCTGAAAAAAGATATGTCAAAGCATGTGTCATGTGATTCTTGCACATCAATAGGTTCTGTATAAAATTGTAGCAGAATATTGCTAAAAAGAATGCTGGCATTCTTGTAATCTGCTTACAGGGAGAGAACTAAAGCCCAAAATAATTAAGTAAATTTCCAAAAAGATTAACAGACTAGAACCAGCATCTCCTGAATGCCAAGCAAATGCTCCTATTACTCTTCCAACAGTCTTCAAATTCTTATAAAACTGTATCATCACCAATACTTAGATTTTCTAACTTTTTAAAAACTTTAATTCTTTATGGAAAGTATGACATAAAGTACACAAAATATTAAATGTAGAACTTGTCAGGTTTTTTGTGTGTATATGCCCATATTACTTTCTGCCAAATCAATACATTCCAGCACCCAGAAGGCTCCTGCCTGTCCCAGACCAACAGCATCTCCAAAGATAACCACTATTCTGACCTCTATTGCCATAGCCTTGCCTGATTTTGAACTTCATGTGAATGGAATCCACAGTATGTACTGTATGGTCTTTGACTTTTTTCACCAAATATAGTGTCTGTAAGAGTCATCCATGCTGTTGCATTTCCAGCTATTTTTTAAAAATTCATTCACTCTACAAAAACATTTTCTCAGAATTAGTGTTAAGTATGGAGGCTCATAGTTGGCCAGAATTTGATTAATGCAACAATCAGTTAATGCATGGTATCTAGTTATTACTGATGAGTAATTCTTCACTGGAGTTAGCTCCAATATATCACATTCTTATAGGTTTCCAACTACAGTGAAGAGTGGATTCCTACTCAGCACTTTGCCTGTAGCTGCCATTTGGAAGTGGTATTACCATTGTGTGATTTCTGCTGCACTCAAAATTTATAGTTACTGCAGACATCAGTAATAAGCCAGCCAAAAAAAAAAAAAAAAACCCTCCCCCTTCATCTATTTCCTGCTCAGCTTCATGTTCAAAGGGTTGACTAGAGACTTAGCATTCTCAGTCGATGACTATTTCTTCCCTAATGACTTTGTTACCTACGGGCATTTGAATAAATGTAATGGACTGTATCAAAAAAATCCTTATAACCTCTGTGTTTTAGCTGAATATATGGGTAGGGATGCATATTTCATAGTGTGATTCACCCTAGGCAAGTGTTAAAGATAGAATATAGCTGATAATTAGTAAGCATACACTGTGAAATTCAACATTACGGGCAACTAGTTAAGTTTTCAGAAACTTATTTCCTTTAACTATCTGTTGAGCAATTAATCTACTGTGTGGTTTCATCTGCACCATTTGTCAGTGGGAACACATTTTAGTCCATTAGAGACCATCAGCCTTCATGACAGTTTAGCCCAGTGGGGGAGAAATTTCCAACACAGTGATTAGATTTTTATGCTAGTGGGTAATTTGTAGTCAATTTCTGAAGCATTTCTAAGGCAAGATCTTAGGAATAAGATTTTAAGAGAAATTTTAGATGGCTTTCTTGCAGTATGATAATGACTTATTTAAACATTAAATATAAAGATATCCAGATATAATGTCCTAAACAAAGAGTGAATACATATAAATTATTAGGGTTTCTTGGATTTCTCATCATACTTATCTTTCCCCTAGTATAGAAAATTTCTCTCAACCTACAGGAGCTACTACAGGGTAAGTAATATTAACTTTAATTTTATTTGTACTCAACGTTTTATACATTCTGACAAGACTGTAATTTATAATCCTTTTCCCTTTTTATATAAGCAACTGTTTCAAAATATGATCCAAACTGAAAGCCAAAATGTAGACTCTGTAACTCTAGGTACAAATTATAATTGCTAAACAATACCATATATCCTCCTTTGTGTTCAGAGCTGTTTAGAAAGGGGGAGTTCATTCACGTTTGTTGGTTGACTGTGTGGAAGAACAAGAGGTATTAAAGGGGATATTCTTTAAAACAAAAGAAACCAGAGCTCTAAGTGGTTTTAAGGCAGAGTACATCAGATCTCATCCTTTCCTAAGACAATAAAGGCTAGTTTGTTTTGGACCGAAAAAGCAAGCAGTTCAATAATCCAGTTTACTGAGATTCTTTCAAAAACTAGAAGATAACAAATGGGATTTAATACTAAAGCTATGATTTGGATTCCAAATTACCTTTGGAGTGTTGTACAGTCTCATGGGCCCTTGATGTAGCACTAGACTAGAGATATGTACAAGTACCCACCCGCAGAAATTCAGTTGAGAGACTGCTGACTATACCAGCCTACTACTAATGAAAGAAAAGATACTTAGTTTCTGTGAGGCCAGATAGTTTTTAGCTGCAAAATGGAAATCATACAGTTCACAACATGGGATTTTTTCAGCTCACCTATCTGGTAGAGCCCTTGGATGGCTGGGTGGGGGAGGAAGTGGGGAGATGCACAGGTAATAACCGCCATCACCCATTTACCTAAACTGAGGGGGGCTGTGAGCGCCAATTTGGACTTGTTCTCGGGCAGCTTCTGGTCTGTAGGAATTGCACCTCACCTAGAAGAGAAATGCATGGCAACAAATGAACTTCCATTCCAATTATGTATTTTCTACTGTCTTAACTGCTCCAAATTATACTAAAGAATAATTTTAGATTCAATGGATGACAAACAGTTTTAGTAGATCAAATAAAATCGTCATCAGTAATAACATCCATTATTCTGATCCCCAGAGTAGAGGAAGGTTTTATCAGTGTGAATAATTTCACAATTTGAGTACATTAGAAAGGTTTCCAGACAAGTGCTTTAAATCAAGAGCATCATATATGTGCCTAGGAATCGATCAGTGTATTCATTCAATGAATTTAATGTTTGAAATAGTCCTTCTCAAATTTCACCATAGTTATTCAAATCAATAAAATGAACCAGCCACCCATTATTGAGGATGGTGATGAGAATTAGTAGTCTGCCGCCCTAAGCGCCTTGCTTGCTTCACCCTAGTGTAGGCCTAGGATTCTCCATCTCCTTTGAAGCTGGGCACAGCTAGATGGCTTGCCTCTGGCCTCTGAAGTGTGAGCGGAAGTAATATATGTTACTTCCTGACAGAAGTTTTAAGAGCCTTAAGATGCTACGTAAATGGCCAGTGCACATTTCTTTTCCACTCCTGCGGTATCCATGGAACCACATGTCAAGAAATAGACTCTAAAACCCAAATTCCCTTTTTTTTTCTGAGACAGAGTCTGGCTCTCACCCAGGTTGGAGTGCAATCGCAGCTCACTGCAACCTCCAACTCCTGGGTTCAAGCAGTTCTCCTGCCTCAAGCAGCTGGGATTACATGTGCACACAACTATGCTCAGCTAATTTTTGTATTTTTCTTTAGTAGAGACGGTGTTTTACCATGTTAGCCACGCTGGTCTCGAACTCCTGACCTCAGGCAATCCACCCACCTTGGCCTCCCAAAGTGCTGGGATTACAGGCATGAGCCACCACGCCTAGACCAAAACTCAAGTTCTTGAGTAAAAACTAAAAGAGCCCCACTGCTGATTCATGTTAGACATGGAGAGTGAACAAGAAATAAACTTCTGTTGTGTTGCTTCTGCAATGTAACCTATTTTGTCCTGACTTGACATGTGACTTGAGATACGATATGGTCTTAAAGGATGAATTGAACCAGAACACATAAATATGGAAAAATATTCTAAGTGGAGGGGGAAATGGGAGCAAAGATTTGGCTGAGAGGAAAGAGAACAAGACATTTAGCTAGGCTGCATATATGGTGCATAACAGGCTGCAGGGGGAGAGGAAGGACAGTGTCAGATTTCTGAAGTCCTGAAGAATTGACCAGAGTGTTTAAACTATAGTTAAAAGTCATTCTTGAGCAGGAAAATAATAATATCCAGATTTTTAAAAGACTTATCTGGCAGGCGTGTATAGTAGGAGGAAGAAATTGGAGACTAGTTAGATTATTTATAGATAACAGGAAGGTTCTCAATGGATGTCCCCTAAATAAGTAGAAAATAGAATGGAAAGAAGAGAAGGATTAGAAGAATATCTGAGCAAAATGACAGGTCACAGCAACTACAGGGATATAGAAAGCAGGAAAGGTAATACAATGTTGTTGCTTTTTTTTTAATTGCATTTTAGGTTTGGGGGTACATGTGAAGAACATGGAAGATTTTTGCATAGGTACACACGTGGCAGTGTGATTTGCTGGCTTCCTCCCCATCACCTATATCTGGCATTTCTCCCCATGCTATCTCTCCCCA